GGCCAACCGCTCATACCTAACCGTATATGTCAACGGTACTTAAAATTCTTTCATTAAAAAAAGGAATAATATTTAAACGCATGCAAACAAACAAACAAAAATTCCACGAATATGCGTTTGTTGTTGTTGTTGTTGTCAGATATATCCAAAGTCCAGAAGAAGTGTAGCACAAGAGCACTTGACGGCAGCCACCTCAAGATCGAACAGGTTAACATATGTGACTGTATCGAGGTGACAGGGACTCCTCCCAACACAAGCAAGGACACCGTTTTCTATTACTTTGATAATCCAAAAAATGGTGGAGAAGTGAAAAACGTGGAAATGGATGCAGAACACGCAAGAGCTTTGGTGTTCTTCGWGGATCCATCAGGTACGTACTGTTGTTGTTATTGCACTGGTAATAATAAATGCAACTAAAGTAGGTCTTCTGTGAATTATGTCTATGCCAATGCATGTGCAGCCGACTAAAACACGGCCTCCCATTTTATGACTACTACAAATAATACCAAAAAAGCAGAGAAGCTTAAATGATACGGATTTTGAAACAAATACGTGATGCATAAGAATAAACCCCATGGAAAGGGTGATGAGACAAAGATTTAATAATTGCTGCTTTCTACTCGAAAAAAAAAGTTCTTGAAAATGGCTAGGTTATCTTTTTGTGTTTTAATTACCTGACAACAATTAATACGGTGACGTGCAGGAAGTCAACATCACTTGATGACTTGGTGATGCGCGTTGTTTTCATGACACACTAATTCCTACCCCTCTTTTCCAACCAAATAGTTTGCTTTCCTTTGATTGTCTACAGTGGAGTACTAGCTCCTTGTTGCAGTGCTGAGAAACCTTAACCATAACCATAACCTTAACCATTTGAATTTGTTGGAAAACACCTTCCCTTATCGCAGGCCTACCTTAAAGCATATTGCRATTTTTACTCATAAATCGGTTATTACTTTGTCAGGTGTATACATRGAGGTTTACTTGTGAATGGACACTTCCACTCCCAGCAGAACCCCTTGAACACTTTCTTTTGTTCAGTTGATAAAAACCGATTGTCTCAATATTCTCATAAGGGAATACAAATGACAAAATTCGCAAAGCAATTTGGTATAGTG